CACATGGATCTAGATCAATATTCACACAGTGGCACACAACCATGTTGGCTGATGGAAGATGTTTGTATAAAAGCTGAATCCTGCTCAGACCACATCCTGGCTCTGACAGCCTGTGGGTAGAAGCTGTGCTTGAGATGGTTTGTTTTACTCTTCATTGTCCAATATATTTTACCAGAGGGTAGGGGGAGAACAGGGGGTGTCCAGGGTGAGTGGGATCCTTTGCAATGAATGTGGCCTTCTTCTGGAGTCAGCCACCTCTCTCAGCCACCCTCACCACCCGCTGCAGCTTCCTCCTGTCCTCTGCAGTGCAGCTGGTGAACCACGCTGTGCAGCAGGATGTCAGGAGGCTCTCAGTGGTGCTTCTGTAGAAGTTCACCAACAGGGGTTGAGGGAGGTGCGTCTGCTTTAACTTCCTGAGGAAGTAAAGTTTCGGTTGTGCATTCCCCACCTGGTAGGAGATGTTGTTGGCCAGGTGAGGTCAGCTGAGATGTTCACTTCAAGGAACCTGAAGCCCCCCCCCCTTGCTTGTTCAGATTCTGTGCTGTACTTGTTCACTCCTTGCTGCAAGTAAAACATTGTTTTGACTTGAGAGACGACTCTGTGTGTTGATTTGGAGCAGTTAGGACTCCACTGAAGAATTTTCCAAACACTCATCCAGCTTCAGCTGCAGCAGTGTTTCCTGAAACCTGCTGCTGCTTCTTTGTAAGCGCCAACCGGATCACATTCAGCACAGAACCACACCGAGTGGTTCTGCTGCAGCTTCATCAGCACTCAGATTCTCCTGCAACATCCCAAATCACATGAGTCCTTCCTGGTTCCTTCTTCTCAGCTCAGATCAGCTCTGACTTGATGCTTCAGAACAGTAGCAGAAGGAGGAATTTGCGTCTGACTGGAGAACAGCCGAGTCTCCTCCTCTGATAAACCTCAATCTGTGCCACTAAAAGCAGGTGAGTTAATGGGACAGCAGCAGAAAAACTACAAACTAAACGTCCTCCACTAAACTCTTGGTGCTTATCTGTGTTGGTTATTTAGACAAAGAGTCAAAGTGCTTCATGGGAGATGAAACTTTTCTGAGTCCGTTCTGACTGAATGAACATTTAACCCACGTGACTGATGTGTAGTTTCACTTCTTTGGTTGTCTTAGTCTCCAGACAGCATGAAACATGTGCAGCCGACATGAAAGAACAATCAGCCCTTCATCCCAGCCCTGTGTAACGTAGCCTGTAGCGCCACCTTCTGATGGCTCCGTGCAGTCTGGATCCAAAGCAGCTCACGGACAAAAACCAAATTCACAATTCAGTTGGAGTTCTTGTGATGTTTCAGAAGTGTCGCTTCTAATTTACTGGATAGTTTCACAGGAACACAGATGTTGAAGGTAAAGTGGATGTTTCAGTTTGTGGCTTCAGCCTGAAACAACAGGAAGGAAAACAAGGTTCCACGTGTGATCTTCTGTCCACATTTCTGACTCATTTCTACCATGAGACGGACTTCATAGAGGCTCATTAAATGGAGCTTTATTTTCCAGGATGCAACAGCTGAGGCGTGTTGCTGCCCTCCACAGGTCATTTGTAGAAGTACACTGTCAGAGTTAAATCCTCAGAACTCCACTTTCAGTCAGTGTTGGTTCCAGAGGCAGCACTCCATAAATACAGAGCATGACTGGAAGCTCTAGTGACACAATAAGCTCATATTCTACCACAGGGTGATGCCATCAGTGATACAGTCATCAGGTGTTGGAGGAAATTACCAGAATGTTCCTGTAATCTGACAGGAGAACCTGTTCCACTGTTCTTAGATGCCTTTCGATGGACTTTGACCTTGAAGCTGCTCTTTAAAAAACAGAGGTCCATGTAGAATGAATTGACAGGATTCATGGTTTACTTCAGATATAAAAGATCCAACTGACACAACTTTCGACAGGGACTTTTTGTTTTTCACTGTGTGTGTGTGTGTGTGTGTGTGTGCTCAGAGCTCTCAGAACCAACCGACAGGTCGCTGGTGTTGGTGTCACCTGCTGAGTTGGATGCTGGAGAAAGCAGCAGCATTTGTCGCCGTGATGGAGGACGGTCACGGCGTGAGTCCTGGTGGTGAATTGTTTTATTAGTTTAACGTCGTAAAACAAATAAACATTTGTTTATATCGTTTTATAGTTTAACGTTATGAACATTTCTGCTGTCTTCATCTGCACAGAGAGCTGTTGGTAACTCCTCCTCCACAAGTGACTGTAGTCGAGTTGTAAAACAGTTTCGGGGGGGTGGTGGATTTTATATTTTGGGATGGATATTTTGCCTTGACAAGAGTGCATATGATATGAAACAAACTACGTACCCTTTTTATTTTTGTTAAAGCCCCAAGATAATTATTTTACAATCCTAAAACAACATATCTGGCATGGATGTTATATGTCAGATTCTCCTGTCATTGATCTTGACCAACATACCTCAGAATTGGAGTCAGTCCCCAGGCTGGCATGGCTATCACTGCTCCTACGCAGTAAGAGGTAAATGCAGAGGACCACTTTTCTTACTGGGTTCAAGTGCAATTTCATACTCATGGTACTTTGAGATCATTTGGTAATTCATCTACTGAAGTGTGAAACAAAACCTCACAAGAACTGCAAATGAAACTCTGAATCCTCTCAAGTCACGTCAAGTTCATTTTAATTCAAATGCAAAAAAAACAATGAACTAGTTGAAACAATTTACAAAATTTGAAAATTAATATCAAAAATTTACACAAATACACCAACACCTGAGATATTTTAAACTTGAGGTGGCTAGCCTCAAAAGACAAAATAGGGGGAAAAAAATGGATAACTAATCAGTTTTTTTCAATAGCTGCCTACCCAGTTCTCCCCTAATTCACAGAAGTTTCCAAAGATTTTCATCATCATGTGTTCTTCTAGTTGTGGTTCAAATGTTCATGTGACTGAAGCCACGCTGTGTGTTCACAGCTTGAAGGAGGTTGTAGCTCTTCTGGCACTGCTGGTTCTGTTTCATCAACATCTGTAAGAAAACAGCATTGGCCAAAAATAAGATTACTATAAATTTAGATTTGCTCCCAAAGCAGGCACAAGGTTTTGAGAGACTGTTTAAAGTTAAGCTCATACTAATAATGTTCATTAATGCCTGTACGTTCTGATGTGACTCTGTGACTACAGTATGTGACTTCTCCTTTCACTATGATAAATGACGTTAATGTTGAATTCTTTGCGTGTTTACATAGCCTGGAGAATCCCAGACAAACGTTATCTTTCTCATGCCAGACTGATAAAAGCAAAATTAAACCCCACTGAGAAGCCAAACCCGAGTCAGCCAGTAACCGCTAGCGTCGTTAGCAACCTAGCATCATTAGCTGTGTTGTTATCACTACGTCCAGAGATTACACATTTGGTGACAGAATGGTTGAGTTATGGAAAGTAATGACTGATTTTCATGACTTTCGACTGACCTAAAATGACACGTTTTTCCTCTTAAATCCAAAGTCCCTCAGATCGAGCTGTCCTCGTCGCTTGGCCATGGTGCTAAAACCGCTACTTGCGCTACTACGCCGCTCACTGACGTTGATGAAAAAGGAAAAAGAAACGCTGTGTCACATTCGCGCGTGCCTGCTCTCCCACAATGTGGGATTATCAACAGAGCGGATGCGCGCGCAGCTTGACGGCCGAAAGAACGGTCCCTTTGAACGCAAATCCCCCTAAATATTGGAATAGTGGTTATATTTCCATTGTCAGAAATTCAGAATAGGAGTAATATTTCCACAATCATTGGTAAAAATGGCCGGGGATGGAAAGGGGGGACGGCCGTTTGAGAGGGGGGATGATTTTTAACATTGTTATTTCATCCCCCCTCAACTCGAGCACTGAGTGCAATTACGTAACCTAGACAGCGAGCTAAAGATCTGAATGGCTCCAGCAATAAAATGACACGTTATTGTTGTCCTCTTTTGTTTTTGCTGAAGACCACATTTTCTTTTTTGTGAAACTGTAACATACAGAACAAGGAAACATGCATCAGTGCTCCTGCATACATCACGCAACAACCGACTGTGACAGACATCACGCATCATCACGCACACTCCGAGGACAACACCGGTTTTAGCTTAGAAACTAACGGCTAGCAATATTACCTCACTTGAATACAGCACTGGTAGAAAGAAAATACACCACTAAAAACTTAAAGTAAGGCAGAACACTATACAACACTGCATTGTATCACATAAACGTACAGATTATGATTTGCCAAGACTCCCAAATGAAAAACGATGCCGAGGGAGGTGGCTCCACATGTTTACAGGTCCCGTGCTGAATTCAACGCAGCCGTTGGAGTCATTTAGCTGCTGCTTACGACTACTGGCCACTAGGAGGCACTGTTACTATACACTGTCACCTATACAACCAAAAACACAAATAACACCACAGTAATGGCGAGAGCGACCCCTATAGGCAGAAAGGAAGAATAGAACCCATTTTTACTAGGAAAAACTTACATTATAACAGATGCACTATTTCTGAATGAGGGGCAGGAGATGGGTACTCTGTGATTCGAAGCGATAGAGCACATGGGGAAGGAGGTGGATGTGCCACATACATAAAAAGTGATATTCCATACAGGTTGCTTGGTGTAGGCGGTGACCTAGAATGTATAGTGGTCGAAATATGGGACAGAGAGGAATCTATCTCAGTGATATATCTGTACAACCCATGTCATAGGTTAGAGCTACAGAGTTTACTGAGTATTCAGGGACAAGACCGGCAGAAAGTAATATGGTGTGGGGACTTCAATGCCCATAGCACTGTTTNAACCATCATCGTCCATCAGCTCAGTTTACAGCAGAAACAGTTTCTTACTTTGTGTCTGAAGGTTCTGGAGGTAAACCCATGGACCGGTCACTCTTCATGGACAGACGGCTGGATGCTGCTCTCTGTCTGCTGAAACAAATGTTTGTTTTCTCAGTCACTGATCAATCCTCTGATCATAGTTTTAAATACACAAACTGCAGATGATGAGATGGTTCATGTCTGCAGTCGTCCTCCTTGATCAGATTACAGCTTTTCTACTGTCAGAGGCAGGCCAGCTGACAGCCGTGGTCTGACTCTGTCCCCCCTGGTGGACCAGCGGGCCCCTTCCTCCTCATCTCTGTTACCTGACGGCAGGTGGATCTCTCTCCTCGGCCTCTGTCTCCTCCTCTCTGACGGAGCCACTAAACTCGTCCGTTTGTGTCAAAAAAAACCCCCAAAAAACCGTGTTTTGTCAGGATTTTTATCGCAGCTAATGGATATTAGGAGCTAGCCAAAAAACGTCACAAGGCTGACAAACGTTGGCTACGCTGTTTCTTACCTCGCTCTACGTTGACTTTACTAGTTCCAGCTTCGTGTCACCACCTTTTTTTAAAGTATTTTTTAAGCAAATCTCTAAGGTCTCTATTTTCTTCCTCTCTTCTTTCTCCTTTTCTGAGCACCAGACTTCTGCTGAGCGGACATTTTGGTGCTGAAGTGTAAAATCCGAACTTCCAATAAAAGGACGTCAAATGTTGATCAGGGGCCAAACCATTTAATGTTGGAGGTGGGGGTGGAGGGCAACTCCAAAGATATTAAGGACAGTTCAGACAAAAACAAATTAAAACTTCTAACTCAAATATTGCACTGTTTCTTTCCATTAATAGCCCTTCTTTGGGGAAAAAAAATCCATAATTAAATGAGGGTCCAGTTCTGCCCCCCCCGCCACTCTGGGCCCAGGACAACAGACCCGTTTGCCCCCCCCCATCAGCGGGCGTGGTCAGAGGTGCTGACAGGAAAACAGGACAAATGTTTTCTATCTGTGTCACAAAAACCTTTTCAGAGTTCATTTTAATACACCAACTCAAACCAACCATCAGGGACACAGAATATAACTGACAGATGTAGATAAGGAGGAGTCGTAGGAATAAGTTCGAGGCAGTTCTCTTACTTTGTTTCTGAAGATTCTGGTTCTTTACTGAAGTCTAGAGGAAGTTCTTTGGACCGGTCACTCTTCATAGACAGATGGCTGGAGGATGGAAACTCCTCCTCCTCTTCCTCACAAACACTCATCTTGTGGACTTCAGTCAGTCTGAGAGGAAAACCAACAACAGTCAGTGAGTGAAGTTCCAGTGGGCTCATTTCTAACGGTCATGTCATCAGGAGAACTGATCACTAGAACCTGGTTAGTGGATCAGAGGAACATGATGTCAGCAGGTGGAGTTCTCCTGGAGAACAACTGTTTCTCTGCTGTGTTTCCATGGAAGCAGCTTTCTAAGCAGCTTCTTACATGTGTGTAGAGACCTTCTGAGCTAATGTTGGCTCTGGTGCACGTAGAAGAACAGGAAACTGTCAGAGGTTGTGAATTTAACTGTTGGTAAGATTCTTTGAAGCAGTTTTTCACTGCTTTCGTTTAGTAACGGACACGCTCAGTTTTGGGGTCTCTTCACTTTTTTACCGTCACTTTGGGCAGCTCAGCTCAGCTCAGTCTGAACTCAGAGTAGAAATGGTGTAAAAACTGTGTGAGAGCTGCAGCCTCAGACACACAGCGCTCAGCTTTCAAACATCTGAATCATTAGAGCGAGGAACCGATGAAGACAAACCACAACATCAGCTACACATCTGAAGAACATTCTTTCACTCTGAACATATTAATAATATAAAGCTAAGAACCACATATAGAACTTCCTTCATCCTACAACCATCATCATCCATCAGCTCAGTTTACAGCAGAAACAGTTTCTTACTCTGTGTCTGAAGGTTCTGGTTCTTCACTGAAGTGTGGAGGTTCTCCTTTGGACCGGTCACTCTTCATAGACAGATGGCTGGAGGATGGAAACTCCTCCTCACAGTCACTCATCTTGTGGACTTCAGTCAGTCTGAGAGGAAAACCAGCAACACTGACTGTGAGCTCATAAAAGAATAAAAGTCAAAGTAACACACAGGTTCATGTTTGTCTTCATTCAGTCTCTTTGTGTCCACAGAAGTGAAACCTGAAGAAAGTCCTCAGAGAGAAACCAGACTCAGTGACTGAGACTCTCACCTGCCTCCACAATCAGGTTTGTTCCTCCGACTGAGTCTGAACTAAGCGACAGCTGCAGTGTTTCCTCCCTGTTCTCATGCTGCTGCTCACCTGGTCAGTGCTGCTCCTCCTCTCCATCTACAGGAAACCAGCTGAATGTTTCTCTGCCCAGCTGAGAGCTGAGCTCTGAGATCAGTTCTGTTTGTCTGTCAGCAGGATTCCACTAAAACTAGCAGCTCACACTTCATGACATGTGGAGGAGAGGTGGAGCGAGGCCAAAGGAACAACCCAGGACATGTATGGAAGGTGAGGATTTGTGCACATTGTTCAGCTCTGGTGTTCATTCAGATCAACATGATGTATCTGAACAAACAAAGGTTCTGGTCAAGATGTCAGCATGTTTCACTGTCACCTTTGACCCGCAGAGGTCTGCCATCATGCTGGCGTGATATAATCACATGACATGTTCCAGACGTCACAACAGGAAAACTATCATGTATACGGCGATGTTGTCAACTTCTCTCGAAAGTGCAGACATTAAACTCTCTCCCAGTTTTTCTTTCATGTCGATAGACCACAAAAAAACGGAGACATGTTATGAACATGCAGGACAAAAAACGTGTGTAAAATATAAGCATATGAAACATGTGCGTCATGTTTCTTTCAAAATCCCCGTCATTTTTTGTGACGGACAAAACGAAAGTGAAAGAAACTCCCTGGAAGTGCAGGTCCTGTAATGTGGCTGTCTGCCTCATTTTGGAAAGAAATTTTCAGGAGTGGCACAGATAAAAACAAAGAAAGCCAGACCTACTTTGTATATAGTTGCATATATTTGTATTTAATTGATTTTATATTAAATTTACCTTTTCAAATTCACATCTGCAACCTATGTTACATTTTCAACTTTTAAAATGCTTCATTAAGCATGTTTGTGGTTTTCATTGTCATAAATGATACATTTCTTCAAATCGGATTTTATATTTTGTGTGTTTGTGAACTCAAAATGTTGAAATTGTTGAAGTGAAAAAATAATAGATCATATAGGGAAAGTTGTGCGAAAAAAAAAAGATACCAAACATGGGCATGGAAAACATGTTTTTATGTGGTATATAACGACAAAACTAAAATTATGTGTGGCGAGGTGGACTATATGGAGGATTTGAAATAACGCTACCTGGGGAATTGCACTGTCTTATATTTGAAAAATGGATAACAAGGCACACAGATTCAATTCTGGGAGGCAGAGACGTGTTTGTAAAAGTAAATCAAAAGTTTTTATTGATAATACTAAAGAACAGAATAAACAGGGTTGACTGGGGCTGCTGCAAAAAAAGGAAAGTTAAATGACACATTAAAAAGAAACAAAATGGGTGAAAAATATTACTTTATTAGAATACACTAAAACTATCTTAATAGGACTTTTAAAAGAAAGGAAAACTATTGATTTAAAAGCCAATTTAAAATCCAGCCCAAAGAAAACTACCAAAAACAAGTAACTGAGCAGAAGTCACTTGTGGAGAGGCAGACTACAAAGAGGAGTGACTAGGGGTGCCACCTATGCTCACCAGGGTGCAACACAACAAATCTCCCAGCAAAATGGTGCAGTCTATGTCATGTCCCTCTGCAATTACTCACATGCAAAAAGAAAGTGAAGGGACCTCACCACGGGTGCCTGGTCTCTCCACCAAGTGGCACTCTGCTCTGAAAAGAAAATAACTAAACACAAAAGAATGAAAAACATACGCAACATAGCCCAGCTGGCTAAACCAAAGCAAAGAGAACTAAAGTAACAGGCCGGCAAAACCAACTAACTAAACAGGTAAAACAAACTAGTCAGGCAAAACAACTAAACAGGCAGGCAAAACAGCAGTGGTTAAAATGCAGGAGAACCTGGAGAAAGGGGAAAAGGTCATCAGCCAGGCTCAACCTACATATACATTCAAATGCATTTTAAAATCATCCTACTCATCCTACCCTCTCTGGTGGGCCATTAACAAAATCACTGGTCTAGCAGAGGGTCAGAATGGCTTTATAGTCGACCAAAACTTCAAACACACAGATTATTGACATTAATATGCAGCTACTTCCAAAAAGAGTGTGCATATGAAGCAGCTTTTAACCCTAACCGGGCACCAAATGCTACCAGCCACAGCAGGGACAGAGTTCAGGAAGCAGAGAGAGTGAACAAAGAGAAGCACCTGACCTAAATATCCTGCTCTAATTAGGTGATTGGCCAGCAGGTGAGTCAGGCCAGGGCTGCATTCACCTGCAGCTGCAGTGTTCCCCACCACATATGCAAAAACGGCCAAAACAGGCAAGACCTCTAAGGGTGAAACTGAGTAAATAAATCTATTTAAACACGTCATCTGCCAAAGACTATGTTCTGTTTCATAGTTTTAAACAGTGAAGTTTAACAGTTGTTCCTTTGCTGATGCTCCACCTCATCCACTGCAGGATTCATTTCACCACCACATGAAGACTTTAACTGGCTCCATTTACTGCATTCACAGACTTTATTCATGAAGGTTGAGCTTCTTCTTTGCTTCCTGATATGTTTAGAAGTGAGGAGGGGAGTAGCTGTGTATAGACCAAGCCCTCCCTTCATTGGTGCACACGTATGTCCACATCTCTTGGCACATGACTCGTCTAATCCTGTGAGACAACACCCTGTTGAAGGACTTCCCTCTTTGCTCATGTTTTGTGTCAATTTGCATCAATCTGTCTGACAGTCACATTGCTGAGTTCAGTCTAGAAGGCCTGGCAGTGCTATCCATGTCTGAACCCTTCTTACAGGATCAATGCTTCTCTCCTTCTCATTTGTCAGCAGGCTCTCACTTTCAGCTCCAGACATGCACATATAGGATATGGACAGACACAGATGCCCAAAAGGATTCGAAAAACTTCATTTGAACTTTCCAGCACCCAAGTCACATGCCATAAAAAGACAGAACTGTCCTGCAGGTCACAGGGCCTTGTAAATCAGCTCTGCAGACTCGGAGGAGTGAGGAAGCAGAGCCCCCTTAGGAATTTCCTTGCTTTAGTGTGTGGAAATAAGTATATCTTATTTTCTACCACACTAAAACCCTACACACACGTCAGTTTTATAGACGCATACTAGAAAAAAATCCCCCTAACATTATATTTCCCCTGTGATAATAAATCCAGAGTTGCTGCTCAAACACCCCGACAGTGTTTCCTTCTCCTGTCCTGGTTCTCTGCTGCACCAACAGCCCTTCAGCTGCTGATATCTTTACATATCTGCCACGTTTAAAATGGAAGAGAGAAAGTAAAACAGTTTCAGTAAAGATTACTTCATGAGATCAAAAGCCGCCTCAACAGTCAGTCTGAAGACTCTACTGTGATGTAAGAACCCCCAGAACAGAACAGAAATAAGGTTCAAAGGTTCATCGTTGTTTTCTGACAGCAGAAGAAGAAGAATGTTGGACCAACACTCACCTTGTTTTCTTCCTCTGTCGACTCTAAAATGGAGTCTGAACTGTTTCAGGTCCACCTGACTCACCTGAGCTGAGCTCCTCCTGTTTCCTGCAAATCACATGACTGCTGTTGTTGTTCCAACACTGGAAGCTCTGCCAACCGCTGCCACCTGATGAACCTGTTCACTCACTGATTAGGATCAGACTGTGCCAGGTGTGATGAGTGAGCTGGAGCTCTGCAGAGTGACGACCAAACCTCCACAGGACACCAGCTGTGCTGCAGTGTGACATCAGAGCTGCTCACTCACTTTATGGCCTAAAGTTCAGCCGTCTGCACCACAAACAGTCGCTGTGTGGCCCACAGTCCACTTTATCTCTGAGCTCAGCCTGCTGCTCATCAACCTTCATCCATCACACACTCGTCAACACAA